GGTTGACTTTCCCTGCACATGTGTTAAACAATATGTCAGGATAATGGAATTATTATCTCTATCTGGGGAACTAATTTGGAAATGAAAAATGTCCTTTTAAGAAAAATAAATGAGAATAAGCAGGAGAGACGTAAGAGTTGACAGTGGTTATGACTTGTGTAAGCAGAGGGATAAGTATATTTAGATCTGCTTAATACACTGGGAGTCCTTTTTAGACTGTGTTATTTCTACATGGGTTAAGAGAGCTGTGTTTTCTGAGAGATTCAAAGCCTTACCCCCAGGAGGCTAAAAGATCAGACCACTTGGAGCATCACTGGAAGTTGTTCAAGACTAACTTGTCAGTGCAGACAACAGTTTGTTTCTTTCAGTGAGACAATTAGCTCGACAACACAGAGACGTCTTTATCCCTCTTGCATCATTTTTGATACGCTGGGCATAGTGAGTGCTTAATGATTATTTATTGCAATTGTCACCATGTTGTCACCACTTTCCCATTGAAATCCTTCTGAATCCCACTTCTCCACAGCCTCAATAAACACTCTAATACAGGTCTTCTCAGATCTGTTGGCCTCAGACCCTTCTACACTCTCCACATTATGTAGAACCTCACAGAGTTTTTGTCTGTGTATTGTATTTGTCAATATACACCATATTAGGGGCTGGTACTGTGGCACAGTAGGCTAGACCTCCGCCTATGGCACTGGCATCCCATATGGGCACCAGTCCATGTCCTGGCTGCTCCCCTTCTAATCCAGCTCTCTGCTTATGGCCTGGGGAAGCAGTGGAGGATGGCCCCGCACCCACATGGGAGACCCAGAGGAAGCTCCTGGCTCCTGGCTCCTGGCTGCTGGCTCCTGGCCCCTGACTCCTGGCTTCTGATCAGCCCAGCTCTGTCCATTGTAGCCATTTAGGGAATGAACCAGTGGATGGAGGACCTTTCTGTCTCTCCCTCTCTGTAATTCTGCCTCTCAAATAAATAAAAGAATTTTTTTTAACTTGCCAGATTAGAAACTAAAACTGCAAAAACTTTAAGATTTATTAGTTCCTTTATTTTAAAAATTATTTGTATATTCAAGGTATACAACAAGACGGTATGTGGATGCATATAAACAGTAAGATGGTTGATTTGTGAAGCAAATAATATATCATCTTCTCACATATCTACCTGTTTTTATTGTTGGCTTTGCGGCAGGAGCAGCTAAGATGTACTCTATTAGCAGACTCCCAGATACAGTAAATTTTATTAACTATAGTCCTCCTGATGTTTGTACATACATGAATCGCTAGACTTGTTCATCCAACCTAGCTGCTGTTTGTAACTTCTGAGCTATGTCTCCCCAGCAGGGACTGGGTAACCACTGTGTGTTCTCTGTCACATTAATTCCCTTAAAATAGCAATGATAAACCAATAACATACTGTTGTGGAAAAAGCAACCATATTTTCCAAATTTACAAAAAATGATGAGTGACATTGCTTTTCATTTTTGGAAATATTTTTAATGTCTGGTTATAAATGACAGCTAGCACCGCCTATCTGTTTCTTCTTTCAATATGTAAAAACAATAAGTTCTGTCATTTCTGGAACGTTCCACTGTTCTCTTGTGAGAGAATGAGAGTGAAAAAGGCAAATAGTGTCTTGCTATTGTTATGGATGTATTTGCCACCTTGGAGGCCCTTTGGAGGACGTGGAGAATCCATGTTCTACTGGGACTCTCTTCCTTTCACACTCAGTCCCAGTCTCATCTCTGTTAATACTTGCTCCGTGAATAGATAAACCTCTCCAACATGTCCTGGACTTAACTGCCTTATAAACAAGGCCATATCAGAGTTTTCTGTGATCACACATTGCAGAGGCTGCCTGACAATCATGGTACCAAACGGGAACATCTCTGCCTGATTTCCAGGCCTCCTCCATCTTAGCCCCTCCTTTTCGTTCGATGATGTTTCCACCCAGGCTCATGGCAAGCCTTGTTTCTCATGGTTGCCTTCACATAAAACGGCTTCCTCTGCACTGCTCAGCTGTCCCCATGGTGCTCATTCTCTGGGGCCACTAGCAGGGTGCATTTGTCCTCAAATCTCTCCTCCATGAATGCTGTGTCTCAGTGACAGTCCCCTCTGACAGCTTTGGTGGCCTTGTATACTGTGAATTGCTGTTGGATTTCTGCTAGTCTTGGATCAAAATGAATCAGGAGGTCAGGAACAAGGTCTCCCCTTTTGTGTCCCTCACAATCCTGAACACATTCTGTTTTCGAAGCAGAATGAATTAAAAACCAAACTCATTTAAGAGACTTTTAAAAATATTGAAAACACAGAGGCAAAACAAACAAACAAAAATCATGGATAACCAGTTAATTACTTTTATACTTATGACTTCATTCTTTTTTTAATTTTTCAAATGTTTGTTATGGAAATGATCAAACATACATGAAGTAGAGAAAATAGTCTAATGAAGGTGAGGTAGCCATCACCAGATTTTAACAATAATAAATATGTAGGGGGCAGGCACTGAGGCACAGAGGCTAAGCTGCCATAGTCTAACAACCCATATTGGAGTGCCAGCCAGAGTCCTGGCTCCTGCGCCTCTGATACAGTGTCCTGCTAATGCACCTGAGAAAGTAGTGGATTATGGCCCCAGCACTTGTGTTCCTGCCCTCTCTACATGGGAGCTTGAAATGTTCCAGGCTCCTGGCTTTAGTCTTGTCCACTCATGGTTGTTGTAGCCTTTTGGGGAGTGAACCAGTGAGTAGAAGATCTCTCTGTCTCTCTCTTTCTGTCACTCTACCTTTCAAATAAAAATAAATAAATCCTTAAAAACTGTGTAGGCAGTATTGTTCTATTCAAGTTTTTCACTCAACCTAGGTTCTTTGGAAGTCCATTCCAGACAGCATATCACTCCCCCTGTATATTCCCATATACTTCTAAACAATGCTCTTTTTTGAAAAGCACAATTGCAATGCCATTAACATAGCTAAACAAGTCAACAATAACCCTTTATTATAAAATCACAATCCCTATTCACATTTTTCAAATTTTTTATAATACTTTTAGAATTTAGACTTGTTCTCCTTGATAGGTGACAACTAACTGAGCACCAAAAAGGAAACATGTTAAAGTGAAATGAACACTATGAGAAACGGTGACTTGATCAGCCCTCACCCTGACTGTTGATGAGCAACTTGATATGTTATCCCTCTTAGTATTTTTTTTGTTTGTTCTACTTAATACATTTGGTTGAATACTGTAATCAATACACAATTCTTCTTAAGTGCTGAAACTTAACTGAAAAGTGATCGCTGTTAAATATAAGAGTGGGAATAAGAGAGGGAAGAGATATGCAATTCGGGACATGCTCAAGCTGACTTACCTCAAACGGTAGAGTTAGAAACATACTAGGGGATTCCAATTCAATCCCATCAAGGTGGCATGTACCAATGCCATCTCACTAGTCCCAGTGATCAATTTCTGTTCACAATTGATCATAATGATAGGACTAAGAACCAAAGGGATCACATAAACAAGAATAGTGTCTGCAAATACTAGCTGATAGAATAAAAAAGGGAGAGAATGATCCAACATGGGAAGTGAGATATACAGCAGACCCATAGAATGGCAGATGTCCTAAACAGCACTCTGGCCTCAGAATCAGCCCTTAAGGCATGCAGATCCAGCTGAAAAGCCCATGAGAGTATTTCAGGCATGGAAAGCCAAGACACTCTGGGGAAACAAAAAAAAAAAAACCTAAATGAAAGATCTCCGCGAATGAGATTCCAGTAGAAAGAACGGGTCATCAAAGAAGGAGGTACCTTTCTCTGAAGGGAGAAGAGAACTTCCACTTTGACCATGGCCTTGTCTAAAAATTATCAGAGTCAGTGAACTCAGGGGGCTTCCATAGCCTTGGCAGCTCATGACAAGAGCCTAGGGTGATTACTGATGCCATAAACAAGAGTGTTGATTTGTTAAGTCAACAACAGGAGTCACTGTGCACTTACTCCTCATGTAGGATCTCTGTCCTTAGTGTGCTGTACATTGAGATTTAATGCTATAACTAGTACTCAAACAGTATTTTTCACTTTATGTTTCTGTGTGGGAGCAAACTGTTGAAATCTTACTTAATGTATGCTAAACTGATCTTCTGTATATAAAGAGAATCGAAAATGAATCTTGATGTGAACGGAAGGGGAGAGGGAGTGGGAAAGGGGAGGGTTGCGGGTGGGAGGGACGTTATGGGGGGGAAGCCATTGTAATCCATATTCTGTACTTTGGAAATTTATATTCATTAAATAAAAGTTTAAAAGAAAGAATTTGGACTGAAATCCAAATAAGATCTATAGATTATGATTGGTTTATATGTATCTTAAGGATTTTTACTCAAGTTCCCCCATTGTCTCTCTTTTTATTTCCTTGACATTTTCATTTTTTATCTTTATTGAAATAAACAGTTTTCCTTCATCTGGATTGTGTTGGCTTCATCCCCACAGAGGCATTTAGGATTTTTCTTCACCTTATATTTCCTGGAAATTGGCCATTAGATTTAGAGGGCTTTGTCCCATGTTTGTTTGTTGTTTTCTTTTTTAAAAAAGAAAGATTTATTTATTTATTTGAAAGGCAGAGTTACAGAAAGAGAGAGAGAGGGAGAGACAGAGAGAGAAACAGAGAGAGAGATCTTCCATCCTTGGTTCACTCCCTAAATGGCCACAACAGGGCAGGGCCAGGCTGAAACCAAGAGCAAGGAGCTTCTTCCAGGTCTCCCATGTGGGTAGAAGGGTCCAAACACTGGGGCCATCTTCCACTGGATCAGCAGGAAGCTGGGTGAGAAATGGAGCAGCCAGGACATAAACTGGCAACCTGCTTGTTATTTCATACTTCCACTAGGAAGTATGTAATGTTTTATTATTTTAAGATAATTAGTAATATAATCATTGCCTAGATTCATTAACTTTCTCCACTTATTATAAGTATTGCAAACTGATGACTTTCTAACTCTATCATTCTATCTTTAGTTACAAGCCAGAAAACATCTAAAGGAGCAACTTTCACTCATCAACTATTTGAGGTGTAAGTTTTACATGAAAGGCAAGATTACATCTTGATTCTTTACCTATTCAACAATTTTCAAAATACTATGATGGTTATTTAGCCATCTTCAAAGGTAATACTGAGGGTCTCTTTCCCCCTGCCCCGAATCATTAATAATTTATGGATTGAGTCTCATTATTAATGCTTTGTGAATCCTTACTAGTTTCCAAATTGTCTTATTTTTGGCTAGGGATAGCTTATTCAGGCTACTTTTTTAGTCCATTTGAGATGACCCTGAAGTTTCTCATGGCTGCCTTTCTTACCTATGCCAATGAAATATCTGTTCTTGAATATTCACTGCCCAGACCTAGAATCAGCCATTTCCACAGATGTCTTGATTCTGTTTAGTAGAAAATGGCATTTAGAGGATAAACCTAATGGAGTGTCTGCTGCAACTGCATTGATCAATGTTTCTAGGTCTTTTAAGAAGTTGGGAAAAAAGATTTTTTAAAAAAAAGATAAGCATACTGCTCTTTTCCCAAGAAGCAAATCATTACTATGCAGTATACAAATAATAAGTTACCTTTTCAACTTGTAACTTCTTTCTTTTTTTCCTTCATTGTATTGACTGAATCTTCTGGAATACTGTTAATTGTGACTTAGACATGTTTCTTGTTCATATGAACATTCCTAATCACCAAGGGATGGGAGAAACCCTTCTGCACTCAAATTCCACTTAAAGTGAGGGATAAATCCTACTTCAGGTGTTAGTTTGATAACACCTGTGATCCATAGGTCAAATCCAACCTGCTTCCTTTGCTTTGCTCTTTCTTTCTTTCTTCCTTCTTTTCTTTTCTCTTTCTTTTTTTTTTTTTTTTTTGGTATGGCCAATGAAGAATGATTTTTACATTTTGAAATAATTGGAGAAGCATATACTTCCTGTCACTTGCAAAGTATTTCAACGTTCGCTATGTTTCATTGGAACACAGCCACACCATGTTCATTTACATAATGTCTATGACTGCTTTCATGCTACCATGCAGAGTGAAGAAGTCAGTCCAGACAGTGATCATACAACTGCCATTAGTTTGCTCTGTCCACAAAACTACTTACTGTCTGGCCCTTTAAACAAAAAGTTTGCCAGTTCCTGCCCACTTGATCATACTGTGTTTCCACTTAATAGAATGGCATATTCAACTAACTTATGTTTTATAATATTTCAGATCTAAGCAATAGTAGCCTGTGAAATATTTTTGTTTTGTGGTACCAGAGGAAGGTTGATATTTTTCAATTTGTCTTGATTTGCAACTGTTTTTCAGTTTTGGTGTCAGGATTATGCTAGCCTTGCAAGTGAACTGGGAGACTTAGTACAGACTTAAAGGCTCTGAACGTACTTAGATAGCCTTCAGCACCTCAGAGCAGCAGAGAAAGTCAGCAGCTGGCTGTGCAAATTCTTGGCAAGCTCAGCAATAGGCGCTCTCAACAGGAGGATCTGGAGTGGGCAGGTGTGGGTCTGAACCTACCAGCTTCACACTTAGTATCTGATCGCTCTTTGATAAATTATGAAGCTTCCTGCATTTCATTTCCCTCATCTGAAAAATGGGGATGCACAGTACTTAGTGTCAATGAGGTAATATGATAACATATGTCAACACTTAACACAACACCAGACACTTGAAAATGCTCAATAAATCACACCTACTATTATAGCTGTTATTACTAGTACCACTCACAGAGCTCTGAAAACTCTTACAGATGCTATGATGTCATGTAACTATGGTCTTTTGACTTTTTACTTGTTGAACTATCTAGTGGAACATTAAGCCTTTGAGTATAATGTAAATCAAAAATAGGTCATCTCAAAAATAAATTAATTTGCCGGCACTGTGGCTCACTTGGCTAATCCTCTGCCTGCGGCGCCGGCATCCCGGATTCTAGTCCTGGTTGGGGTGCCAGATTCTGTCCCAGTTGCCCCTCTTCCAGTCCAGCTCTCTGCTGTGGCCCGGGAGTGCAGTGGAGGATGGCCCAGGTCCTTGGGCCCTGCACCCTCATGGGAGACCAGGAGGAAGCACCTGGCTCCTGGCTTCAGATCAGTGCAGCACGCCGGCTGCAACGTGCCGGCCATAGCGGCCACTTGGGGAGTGAACCAATGGAAAAAGGAAGACCTTTCTGTCTCTCTCTCTCACTGTCTAACTCTGCCTGTCCAAAAAAATAAATAAATTCAATTTAATTAACCAAAAACATTTTAGGGACTGACACTGTGGTGCAGTGGGTTAAACCATAGCCTGAAGTGCTGGTATCCCATATGGGTGCTCATTGGAGTCCTGACTGCTCTACTTATGATCCAAATCCCTACTAATGTGCCTGGGAAGTGCTTGGGACCCTGCATCCATGTGGGAAATACATAGGAGGCTCCTGGCTCCTGTGTTTGGGCTGTCCCAGCCCTGGCCATTGCAGCCATTTTGGGAGTGAACCAGCAGATGGAAGGTCTCTCTGTCTCTCCTTCTCTCTATATAATTCTGCATTTTAAATAAATAAATAAAACCCCTTTTTTAATTTAAAAATTAACTTTAAAAACTTAAACTATATCTAATTCTTAGGAGACCTTTTATGTTAAAAAAAAAAACACACACACACACAAAAATAAGAAACAAAATACAAAGTGTGGTAGACAGCCCAGGTCTTCACAAGGTAGAAGGCCCAGTGAGAAAGCCAAGGTAATAATAAACTTGTTGCCTTGGCTCCATTGTGAACATAGCATGACTTGGGAAAAGCACCCATTATCTATGTAATTAAACTCAATTAGGGCTAGAAAAATCCTCAGTTGGACAAAATTATACCTCACCGTTTTATAGTCACAACTGTATTACCAGACAACACAGGCTGTTGAAGAAATGTATGTATCATTTTAAGTGTGACTTCTCCTCACTATCCTAAGAAAAGTTCTCTCCAAGTTCTTCTTTACCCATGGTTCACTTTCCACAGTTTCAGTTACCCATGGTCCACTGTAGTCCACTGTAGTCCAAAAATAATAGATGGAAAATTCCAGAAATAAGCAATTCATTAAGTCTATATTGCACACTATGTGGAGTAGCATGATGGAATCCACCTCTGCCTGGGACGTGAATCATCGTGCTGTATATACCGCCCATCTGCTAGTCACTGAGTGGCCATCTTGTGGATGAGATGTCCTGTTCCTCTTTCACAGTGTTTGTGTTCATGCTACTCTTACTCCATAGCCTAACACACTTCACCATCCCTGCGTCATTCACCTCCCTCATAACCTCATGTCGGCACCATGTCGCCTCCCATCATCATCACAAAAAAAGGGTGAATACAGTGTAGTAAGATACGTTGAAGGAGAAAGAGACCACATTCACTAACTTTTATTATACTATATTTTTATAATTCTTCATTCAATCATTAATTATTGTTGTCATTCTCTTACTGTGGACGCATTCAACTTTATCATAAATATGTACATGCAGGAAAAAATATAGTATACATAAGGGTCATCCCACCTGGATAAGGGGAAATTGGTGTACTTGAGATTCTCATGGCAGCTGCTCTGAGAAAGTCACAAGTGAAAGGCCCAGCAGCCCAGTGGTTAGGTGATGAAAACCACTGCTCCATTGTCAAGAAGAGTGCACAGGTGGACAGAGCCGGAGACCCCCACATCTCAGGAGGGAGATACACCACCAGACGGCCAGGTGGTCTTGCTTCTGACCTCAGAACTTGCTCCTAAATGTTAAAAATAGACGACATGAGCACAGATGGATGAAGACACTGAGCTGACACAGGTAGAGGAAGACTACAGAGATCACAGTCATGAATGTCCACAGCCAGGCACTGTGCTTTGGGCTCCCGAAACAGGCTGAGAGCAGGTAACCAACGTGTCCTTGTCAGAGACTGCTGAGTGAGCTCTCGGGACTTCCTTTCCAGAGGGCAGGGACTGAGAACCCAGCCGTCTGTGTCAGAAGGTGATGTGTTTATGCAGCGCACCAGATGGAAGCTATTTCCATTACCTTCTCTCCTTCCCTCTTTCCTTACTCTGTATTCAGGAACTGCAGAGTATGGTTCTCCTTTTAAGCCTAGACTTTGTCCAACATTTTGTCATAAATGAAAAATCATACTTTCTGGCCTAGTCTTACCTGATCCTTTGTAAGCATGCTTTATTAATACAGATGTGTCAAATGTTTTTTAAATAGCTTACAATAAAGAATATAATGTGAACTGTTTTTCCCATGTCCAAATATGTCTACACTAAGAATACATAATTATTAACTTTCACAAATTTTACTTTTGTTTTAAGGATTTGAATTATACTTGTCTCTGTCTTCTGAAAATATAGTGCATGGGATGTGTGATTAATTCTCTTATCCACATAGATGATAGTCAAAATGTGTGTAGTAGATCCCAGATAGACTGTAGAGGAAGTTTAGAAACTACTAAAATACAGGCAGAACGTTCCCACTCCCATAAACAAGTAAATCATGAAAAGTAAAGAATTTGTCATATCCTGGGCCGGCGCCGCGGCTCACTAGGCTAATCCTCCGCCTAGCGGCGCCGACACACCGGGTTCTAGTCCCGGTCGGGGCGCCGGATTCTGTCCCGGTTGCCCCTCTTCCAGGCCAGCTCTCTGCTGTGGCCAGGGAGTGCAGTGGAGGATGGCCCAAGTGCTTGGGCCCTGCACCCCATGGGGGACCAGGAAAAGCACCTGGCTCCTGGCTCCTGCCATCGGATCAGCGCGGTGCGCCGGCTGCAGCGCGCCGGCCGCGGCGGCCATTGGAGGGTGAACCAACGGCAAAAGGAAGACCTTTCTCTCTGTCTCTCTCTCTCTCACTGTCCACTCTGCCTGTCAAAAAAAAAAAATAATAAAAAATAAAATAAAAAAAAGAATTTGTCATATCCTATAATATATCCCTATTTCTATATGTGTGTTTTTAAAGGCTCCTAATGCATAATTTCTTTATTGCAATATTAAAAAGGAAGCAAGACATTCAGAATAAGCAACCTTCCTTCCCCCAGTAGAGCTTGCTTTCTCAGGAAGTTCTAAAACTTAAGAGTTAGAATGCCTCCTAAAGAATATTTTAATAAGATGATGTGTGGTGCTTGAATTCCCAGTGTGATGCCTCAGCAAGTGGTTCTCCATTCTCTTCTAGGACATTCATCATTAATGGGACGGCCAGATTCCAGGGCAGCACAAATATGTCTTCCTACAGAGTTTAGCTGTTGGTGAGAGTTCTGACCCCAACAGCTGCGCAAATGTCCTGAGTGGTCTCCCTATCCCTAGGTCCCTAGCAGCCTCCCTTATTGATTATTCGTAGTAAATATAAGCTATATTTTAAAATTAGGAAAAAAATTGGAGCTGGCACAATTGGAGCCACAGCTTGCAACACTGATATCCCATATTGGAGTGCTGCTTTGAGCCCCAGTTACTCTGTTTCCAAGCTAGCTCCCTGCTCATGTGCCTGGAAAGGCAATGGTAGATGGCCCAAATATTTTGATACCTGCCACTCATGTGGGAGACCCAGTTGGAGTTCCAGGCTCCTGGCTTTGGCCAGGCCCAGCCCTGGCTGTTGCAGCCATTTAAGGAGTAAACCAGAGGATGGAAGATATCTTTGTGTGTGTGTGTGTATCTCCCTCTGTGTGTCCTTAGGCCTTTCAAATAAATAAGTAAATCTTGAAAAAAATAGTAAAATCAGAATCTTCTGGACCCACAGACTCAAATACAATCAAAAGCTAACCACATCTAATATTGATTCCTATCTTGAGACATAAAGGAAAGCTCACTTCTAACTCATCCACATCAAATCTGAATAAGCAAAGACAATGAGAGTCATTATTTTCATTTTGGCAAACTATCTCTGCTTTCTTCCCTTTCAGTGAATGTTTTTCTGTGACCGAGAGACAGATTGACAACTCCAGCCAGGTAGAAGTTCTGCTGCTTCAGCACTTGCCTGCGGAAGGACTAATATTATGCTGGAGTTGCTGAACAATGCTACTGGTCCCTAAGAGCTCATCCAGAAAATGTTATTTACAGTTATCTGATGTGTTCTGAATAAATCGCCCAATTAAAGCAAATAATGACTGGGCATTCAGAGGGGGTCACAACCATGGGAAATCATCTTTCCTGAGAAACACGAGTGCTTAGAGTAACAGAAAATCACCGCTGGTACCAGGAACTATATATTTTGATACAAATTTCAATGCATTTATCTCTATCTTTGATTTTTTTTCTTAACCTCTTTCCATGTTTATCTTTCAATATCTTTACCCCTGTCTTGTATCTTTCAGGTTTTACAAAACTTTCTGAACCATTATCCTCACTACTACTGGGTTGGAAATTCATGAATGGTTTCTAGTCTTTGACCTTGGGAAAATATTTTCAGTGTACATGCTGCTTCCTAAAAGCCTTTTATTATTCTTTAGGGCTAAACTCTGCCACATCAACCACTATAATCTTAAACCACATCCTAGTGAACAAAAGATACTATATCACTCAGTTGAGTTTAACAATTACACATTTGTTCAAATCTTGTTGGCTGTTAATTCTCTAATGTTCTGCAGTACCAACTAGAGTCTTTGGAATGCACTTGGAAAACCATGTTCAACTACCTAGTTATCCAGCAAAGTGAACTTTCAGTCTCCAAGACCTGTAGATCTAATAGGTCATCATATAGAATCTGTCCTTCATCATGAAATCAGGAGTCACTGAAATGATGTAATTAATTTTTTTCACAGAATCTCTCCAGCCACACTATGAGAAATGGGTTGGAAAGAGATAAGACAAGCAGTACAAAATCAGTTAGAAAGCTCTAACCCTTAGGCATGCGGATCCGGCTGAAAAGCCCATGAGAGTATTTCAGGCATGGAAAGCCAAGACACTCTAGAAAAAAAAAAAAAAAAACACTAAATGAAAGATCTCCGTGAGTGAGATCCCAGTGGAAAGAACGGGTCATCAAAGAAGGAGGTACCTTTCTCTGAAGGGAGGAAAGAACTTCCACTTTGACCATGGCCTCATCTAAATATGATCAGAGTCAGTGAACTCAGGGGGCTTCCATAGCCTTGGCAGCTCATGACAAGAGCCTACGGTGATTACTGATGCCATAAACAAGAGTGTCAATTTGTTAAGTCAACAACAGGAGTCACTGTGCACTTACTCCTCATGTAGGATCTTTGTCCTTAGTGTGCTGTACATTGAGATTTAATGCTATAACTAGTACTCAAACAGTATTTTTCACTTTATGTTTCTGTGTGGGAGCAAACTGTTGAAATCTTTACTTAATGTATGCTAAACTGATCTTCTGTATATAAAGAGAAACGAAAATGAATCTTGATGTGAATGGAAGGGGAGAGGGAGTGGGAAAGGGGAGGGTTGTGGGTGGGAGGGACGTTATGGGGGGGGGGCCATTGTAATCCATATTCTGTACTTTGGAAATTTATATTCATTAAATAAAAGTTAAAAAAAAAAGAAAAAGAAAGCTCTGGCAAGGTTCTAGCTAGTGATGATGGTGGCCTGAATTGAGAAGGAAGTTCAGTGTCAGAGATGAGCAATTGTGGAAGGCAGGGGGGTGGTTGGAAGTGACAATGAATTTCTGGCTTTGACAAGATTATTGTCATCTGAGGATGGGTAACAGGACAAAGAATAGATTTGAGGAAGGTGATGAGGACAGGTTAGTTTTGCTAAGGATGTGTTGGTTTGCAAGCATCCAGTTGCAATGTCAGTAATGGTTGTGAATGCAGGACCAGAGCTCAAGAGCCAGAAATGGTCTAGAGATCTTAGAGTCTTCAGGGAAAAGAAGAAAACTGAAGAAATGGGAGATTCCCTGGCTTCAATCTTAATCCTGAAAATAATAGACGGTCCTCAGTTGAAATAGCAGAAAGCTTGGTTAAATATGAAGAGTGAAGATGTCCTTTTCGAGAAAGCTGAGCTTCCTAAATGTTGCGTTTGTTATGAAACAGAGACATGGTCAATTCTTGTTTTCAAAGATGTATATAATCCAAAAGCACCATACTCTTGCTTTTTAAAACTAAAGAATAAATTGCTCCAAGCTTTATCTCTATTTCAAAATTATTTAGCCCAATTGTACTACATCATGGCTTCCAAAAAGAAATCTTTTATTTTTTACATGAGCTATTAAAATTCTACCCTAATACACAGATTTTATATATGTAAATATAAAATGTTTGAATTTCACTCATGTTTGATGGAGACTAGGCAATGTGCTGGCCTGTGTTTGAACCTAGGACTAGTTACTGACTTCGCAGGAGAGAAGTAGCAGAGATCCAGAGACAGCCTCCATCTCTGGCTTACTCTGAGCAAATGATAGAGCCATGCAGGAGCTAGGAGTACAGAGCAAGATGATATTTATATTCCTATTTTAAACTTAGCTGGATCACGCAGGGACATGGCGACAGTATCAGCAGGCACCAAAAGGATCTGGTATATCATTGCTAAGGACTGAATTGTCCAGATAACTCAGATTGAACATCTTTATAGCAGTCCAGAACCAAAAATCCATCTGTATGTTCCCCTGTTCACCTTTCACTTCCACTACCCAAGCATCAGTCAACTCACCCATGACCTTCCCGGCAAGAACCAGGACTTGAAGCTGCCTTAGTCTTTAAGCTGAATAGCAAGGGGCATCATCCTCAAAAAGTCTCACATCTCCTCCTTGAGAGACTGATTTTGTTTTTATGTCACTGCTTTGGATTTGTCCTTTAATTTGCATCCCACAATTATGAGTGGAGATGATGGCTATCATACCATAATTACAACCCTTTCTACAGAACCCTATAAAATGTCTTTATAAGTACTGGAAGTAATAATTTTATGAAGTGCCTGTAACCTGGTTAAATAAAATTATTTGGAAGATGATCTTGTTTTCATATAAATATGAGTGTTTTGAAGATTGGAAAGATAAAGTTTTGGAATGTGAATAAAGACAGACTCTCTTGTCCATTTAAGAATATATTATATTCCTAGCTGTAAATGGTTGAAGCAAGAATTTTATTTAAAATGTCATTTTTTTCCATAAACAGAAGTCACATTTTACTCAATAAATATTTATTGAAAATTGTGTTCATCCCTGAGAGATATCAGTGAAGCATAAGAAGGGTGTCTTTACAGAGACTAAAATCATAAAGATTCAATGCCATTCATTCAATGATATTTTTGGATGCCTACTATATGCTATAAACTGTTTTAAGTGTTGAGGACCCAACTATGAAATAAAAAAATAAGGTGCTACCTCAAGCAGTTTATTTTTAAGAAACAGGACAAAAGAAAGAAAGATTAAATAAATAGAAGATAACATAAGTGCTGTGGAGAAAAGTAACTGGCACTAAATGCTTAGGGGCAATAAAAAGAAAACAAGTTGGACTGCAGTGAAGGAATGTCTCAGAGATGAGCTAGAATTTGAATGCAGCCATCAAGATAGAATCTGAACAGGTTCAAGTTTGAGGAGATACAGGGGAGGGAAAGGTCACTGAGAGAAGAGCAAGGGAATGAAGTGAAAACCACAACCACACATGCTCAGACCATGGTCACCTTGGTAGATTAATAGTTACAGTGAAAAGTCCATGACAAAAAAACACATCCTTAGTGTTAGGCTCATAATTCAATTTAACAAGTATACATTGTATATACTCACAGAGTATAAATTCCAAGGACAAGAATCTTGTGCATATTACTAACCATTCTACCTCTAGCATCTATAATAGAGATGGTACTAAGTAAATTGTTTGTTAAATGCATGTAGGGCTCTTGAAACCAAATGATGAAGGATGATGTATTTGAACTTGATCTTATCAACAGCAAAAAAAAAAAAAAAGTAATGTACAATGCTTATCTTGGCAGATACACCATTATGAGGTTCCCTTAACCACATCACTGAACCCCTTAAAAAACTTCCCCTCCCTTTAGTTACTTTCCTTCTATAACTTTCCCTCATGGCTCCCACCACTTTCTTCCCTTCCCATACCCTTGGGACACTAATAGATGACCAGCAGAACAGCTTTTCAGGACACATGTGCATATGTGCAGCTCAAATACTGTCAAGCAGCATGGGAGCTGCAGAGCAACCCCAGCCATGCTGTGCCCCACCCAGAAGAGTAAACTCTGTTCCTGATCAGTGGCACTCTCTCTCTCTCGGTGGGCTTCAGAGGGCTGTCTGAGCCTCAAGGCAGGTGACTCTCATGATGATAGCCCCTGGGTTTCTTTTCCCAGCCCTTTTTCTATTCTTCCTCCAAGCTGATGTAGAAACCCCCAGGACACAGTTCACGTGTCCTCCCCACACTCCTCCCCAATTCCTTGGGTTCCCCTTCCTTCCGCATCCTGCCCTTTCCCTCTTGATTATGTTTGTATATGGTGTTCCTTCATCGTCTTGTACATTAGATTGTTTTCCATGACTATAACAAAATACCTGAGGCTGCATACTTGTGAAAACAAAAGAAAATGAAAAAACAGGTAGTGGCTGGTGCTGTGGTACAGCAGGTTAAAACTCTGGCCTACAGCACTTGTATCCCATAGGGGCACCAGTTAGAGTCCCAGCTGCTACTCTTCTGATCCAGCTCCCTGCTAATGTGCCTGGGAAAGCAATGGAAGATGACCCAAATCCTTGGACCCCTACATCCACATGGGTGACCCGGAGGAAGTTCCTGGCTCCTAGCTTTGGATTGGCTCGGCTCTGGCCATTGTGGCCATTTGGAGAGTGAACCAGTGGATGGAAGACCTCTTTCTGTCTCTACCTCTCTCATAACTCTGTCTTTCAAATAAAAAAAAAAATCTTTTTTTTTTAAAGAAGAAAACGGGTTTATCTAGCTCACAATTTTGGAGCCTGAACGTCCAAACAGTGTGATGCCAGCTCTCACAATCTCACTCCACCCCTAGCTGCATCATGGTGGAGCATGAACAAGCTGGAAAGATACAAATGCTGAGAGGGAGGAGGGACCAATTGTGATCTTTTAGAACAACCCACTCTCATGGGAGCTAACCAATGTCCTGAGAATTATATTAATCCAATTCCAAGGGCAGCTCCTTGTGACCTAGGTGCCTTACACCAAGTTCTATCTCTTAAAGTTTCCTCCACCACCTAACATCACCAAACTGGGGACCAAGAATCCAACACATGAGCCTTGGGGGACAAACCACCTACAAACCAAGCACTCTGCTTGACGTGGCCTATTTTTCTCTTTTGACTGTCAGTGTACCTAGAAACATATGTGTTTACAAAAAGGAGGGAACAGAAAGGACTGCTTGGTCCAAGCTTTTAACCTTACAGGTGAGGCAACGGAGCCCCAGGAGAGGAAGGAGGCTCATCCAGCTTTAAACCATCATCCCTGCATGCTGGGGTGCTGGGCTTGGGAGTGGAGAAGAAAGATATCTTTGGAAGTTGCTTCAAAGGAAAACATGAGTGGGGCTTGGTGGTCAGTTGAAATGTCAGAGGCAAAGGAGGAGGAGGAATCAGAGACACATTCTGCTCTCGGGCAACTGTATATTGAGTCTCAGCTCTGAGCTTGCCTGGCCCTGTCACTGGAGAGCTCTGGAGGATGAGCCAACCAATGGGAAAACTTATTAAGAAACTATAAAGTGCTGATATGCGCCATGAGAGACAAAAACCACACTTGTGAGTTTGAGGACGACACTTCTGTAGACTGGGTAATCAGGGAAAGCTTTTGTGTGGAGATGATACAAAGATATTTCAAATGGGAGACTTGCAAAACAGCAGTGACCTTAAAAAAGAAGTAGCAAAGTTTGGAAAACAAGCCAGTTAATGAAGGAGACCCACTTTTTAGAAAGAGCCCATAAAAGAACATGATGACTTCATCATTGCTAACTTTTTTCCTGCAACAAATCATCATTTGTTAGGTAACAGAAAAAAAAATCTTGGAATCTCTGGAGAGTGTTTTGAATTATTTTTTCAACACAAGGAGGTCTACTGGGGAAATTTTTCAACGAGGGACTAGCATGACAGGATCCCAAGTTACTCTCTCCTGAGTTACTGCGAGCCTGTAGATCCAAACCATGGACTCTGGCACATGCACTTCCCTTTTCTAGAAGGGAAAATGCTGCTTGGGGCTTTGTGAGCTTGAGACAAACCATCCGGAGAGCTTTGATGCAAGCAGCTTGGACTCATTGGGGTGAAATCCCTGACTCTGCAGTTACCCTTGGCCACCAGAAGGATGCTGTAGACAGTGTTTTATCTGCCACTTGCAGAAGTATGCAGGATGAGAGAATATCTCCCCGAGTGACCTCTTTCCTGGCCTGGCTTGAGAGGAAAACTGGCTCTTCACAGTGGGAAACAGGCCATTGTAGCCCCAGTCCCTGCAAAAGG